CCAGTGGACAATTAGCCAAGACCGTTGTGTCCTCTGCTGTTTCCAATATGCTGTATAACATATAGAAAAAGAGCGAATCTTCACCACTGGGAAGCTGGAAGGGGATTCAAACAATTAATCAATTATCAGAATTGTTGCAGTAGAAGTACATTATTCTGCTTATTCACTTTTATTAGCACATGTAATAAAATAAAAAAAGTTTTATTGGAATAATAGAAAAACTGTGGGGTCTTATAACTGAACTTTCCTCTCTGTGCAAGTGATTATTATTGAATCCCTTTGGACAGACTGTCCTCCTGATGTGTCTGAACTCTAAATGTTTTTCTATGTTTATCTGCAGAAGTTCACTAAAAACAAAAAGGGCATATTTCTCGGTGTAAAACGTCCATTTTCTTTGACAGTGTTTTAGAGGAACTTGGCATGGGCCTGTGCCCTCTCACTGATGTGTAGCAATACTTTCACTGACTCTTAGTTCCTGATAAAGCACTGATGCTTTGCCCAAGCAAATAGTCCTATCTGCCCAACGGACCGAGATTACAGCACCCTTGGTTCAGTTTTGCTGGCATGAAATGTGATCCTCAATGAGCCGTTAATGTTTTGACACGACTGATTAACTAAGACTCCCCCGATTAAAGCAACGTACAGAAGGAAGTGGGATTTTGGGGGGGCTCTGCATCTGTGACTGTGTGTTTGTGTGTGAAGGGGGTGGTTGAGAGGGTGGCGGGGTGGTCTCAGAGGATAGCCGTTGTCTTTCTCAGAAAAGTGAACTTGTCTCACCCAAGAGACAGATGAGCAATGTGTGAGGGCCTTGTGGTTTATGGACAGAACTCAGTTCTCAGGCTGCTTGGGTTTTCACCGGAATAAAAGAAGAAACTCTTTACTCAGAAATAACTGACAGTTGTGCCAGTTCACTGTGGCACATAATAGTCCAAATGTCAAACTGTCAAGCAACGTGAGAGACACATCACTCAAACTGAGTGTGTATTCAGAAAAGGCCTCATTACTATCAGAAAGAGGAGGCAACTCCCCCGAAAACTCCAAAAGGTGGACGTTTCTAATCATTTCTGTCTCCAATGCTCCCTTTCGCCTCCTCACACACTTTCACTCTTTGCATCTTAACTTCAGTAATCGTAAAATGTATTACATGAAAGCCACCTCAGCTTCTTTCTGCCCTAACTGTGATATCATAAGCCACATGGTGACAACTTGTGCTCTGCGCTCTGAGCGATTGTGGTCATGAGAAAGAGAACTTTTCTCTGCGAGGTGTGACTAACATGATACTTTACTTCCTCTGGACGTTTCTGTACTGTGCGATAACTCACGTGGAAGAGGTTACGGCGGACCGTTGGCTTGAGGAACATAAAGTTCAGAGACATTTGAAGGGTTTGATCAGTACCCACTCAGTTTTTATTTTTTAAATTCATCCTGCAGTTTCCAGGTTTCTTCTGATGCTGTTCTCAAGAAGACACAGGATCTGGCCTTAGGTGGTGTTTTATCATTTTCCCAACAAGAATTAATTAAAAGAATATATAGAAACCACATTCAGACAGGTGACAACAAACCGAATAAATGAGTGGAGAAACAAAACGAATGCTTTTCCACAGAGCACTCACTGAATTATCTGATGAGTATGAAAACGATGTGAGTCATATACGAGACGCAGTCTGTAGATCTCCAACACCTATGGGCAGATTTGGACCGACAGCACTTTCTCAACACCATCATCAATATGAGGGAGTATCACCAAACAATGGCGGCGATCCCCAACTGTACAGATGCAGAGACGTGGCTCGTGGTGACCCAACACGTTACCGAGACATAATATGACGTCTGTTCTATTATTTTCCAGGGAAAAAGACGGATGTGTAACAGCAGCAAAATCTCTTTCTCAAGGACACATCAACGAACAGGAAGTTGCACCTGTACACCTGCAAGAAGATCAAATAATAATGATAATAATAAAAACTATATATATTAAAAAAAGATTCTGAGAAAAGCGTAAGGAGAGGCGCACCTTAAATTAGCTTAAAATAAAAACACATCTAGAGTCTCGCAACTGGAGGATATTACAGCTGATAAACTGCCAGACTAAGGTCATCTCAGTCTTTGCAATGTACATCTTTGTTATAAACTACTCAATTTTTGTATTTGAGATTAGAGGTCGTAATTTTTTTGGCTTCATTAATTCCTGCTACAGAAAACACACCTTGTCCTAAAATGAAAAATGAAGTGCCGATACAAAATGTAAAAGCAACATAAAGAGTGAGCACGGTTTGACCACATCCAGCGAGTCAACACACAGCATTCAAAACTGTCTCATGATCGTATATTCAAAGGACAGAAGACAGAATCGACACATTCAAGGTCGAGGTCTCTGTCAGGCATGTATAGGAGACCTGATATAAAATTTGCCTGATGAAAAATGCTGAAGGTCAAAATGTTGCCTCATTAAAATTTTGGAGGCTTGAAATCACTGCAGGACTTTGTCCTTACTGTCCTCCAACTGCACCTAACCTGGGGTTGGATATTATATATATACTTCCCAGGTGATATCCAACAAAAGGAATTAAATAAATATATGCACACAGCCTCACATAAATACAAATATAAAGAAACACAATCCAAGCACAACAAAAATCTACATTTATCAACCAGTTGATGTCAGTTAAAACTTACAATGTGTGATTCAGATCATGAACAGACTGTAATCCATGAGGCTTTTATCTTTTTCCATGCTTTACAGATGAAACTTGACCTTTTTTTAAACAATGTTAAGTGCAAAGCATGCTGGAGGATAATCGCTGTATCGCTCAGTAACACCACCTGGACACAAAGTGCAGTGTGGAGATTTGAGATTTTTTTTTTGACTTGATCAAAATACATCAGCCCTCTCCGCCTGCAGCAGCTGATGATGCAGGATGAGTGAGAGCTTCTGCATCGAGTGTCACGGCGGGAGCAGGACAAGGTTGCTGCTGCCCACTGAGAAGATGTCACAGTGACAAACAGGCAGCTTTTCTGTGAGTGTTGCATGCTCTGTAACCTCGTTTGAGCTGCATTCTTCCACTTAAAAAAGCTGCAACAAAAGCTACAGGCAGCACTTTCCATTTTTACCACTCTTCCCCTCAAGGACTTTAAAACCCACCCAAGATTGAACCACTTTTTCCCCCCACGTCTCACTCCTTCAACTCCCTCCCCATTTCCTTCCTTTCCCGTGTCTGTTAGTGCAGTGATGCTGCAGAGGACACACCCATCCACACTCTGCTGCCTCCCTGTCTCTCTCTCCTTGACCCTGAGAAGTTCTCCAACGCACTGCTGATAGTGCTGCAGTGCCCACCCAAGAGTAGCCCCCTTTTCACTCTGAAGCACTGCTGAAAAGAGGGAAAAAAACCGAAAGGTTAGGGTGAAAATGAATTGAAAGCATATTTCAATTGCTCTCTCTTACTGAAGGATGGGTTCAAAAGAAAAAGAACCTTGAATGTGGAGGGGAAAGAATAATGGGTCCAGAGAAGCTTGTTATTATGAAAGGGAGATGACCACTTGTCATTGACATCATGCAATCATGCAGTTACATTTTTTTAATAAGCCCTTCAGTAGCCTATAGTAGACAGGTGGTCACAAAAGACAAAAAAGAACACGGCCCAAATGAAAAAGCACATTCATATGTAACAGTGACAAATGTATAAATTGATACAAAGAGAAACACAATCTTTTTTTACTTTACTTTTATTGTCTTATTTATTTAACTTTTAATTAGGCTTCAACTATTCTGTCCCAAATCATTAATGCTGACACATTACTGCTTAAAGGAATAGTTTGATATCTGAGGAAATTAATTTTCTTACCATGAGTTATGCTGCGTTCACATGCTCCTTGGACCAAGTTTTTCTTCCAACTTTGTTGAGTTCATGTGCTTTTAAGGCAGAAAGTGGAAAAAACATGGATGCTACAAAGATGCGCTGTATTTTACTGCTCAGAGCATTAAAACAAGGTTACTGCTAATAAATAACTTTTATAATTAATTTAGGCCACAATAGGCAGACAGCAACTAATAGTTACGACCTAATATCAGATTACAAATTAAGTGTTAGCAAAAAAATCATATGCAACACCCGAATTTGCACCATTAATAAATTTTCTTTCGTCAGCCAATCTCTTGGTTGGTTTTTCTTATACATGTACGAGTTAATATTCACTTCCACAAGGCTGGTTGGTGAACCGCTGTAGCTACCAGGTTAGCGTTAGTCAGTTCCTGGAGCGTCTGGATTTTCTCTCTACTGTTTTGTTTACCTGCCTTTTTGTTCACCAATCTACATTATTTTGTTCAATGAAAAGTTACTGAAGAGGGTAAATACATGAGCTAAAGCTTTCACGGTCAGTCAGCAAAATCATTAGCTTAACTCCCTAAGTCTCTACCTGGACAGAGCTAACTCTTTGAATGGACAGTGAAGGTTTAATAAAAGTGAATGTAACACAGCTAATAAGTTACGGCAGCTTCCTCTATTTTTGACTCTGTGCTGACCTTTCAGAGAACAGAACCGCATTTAAGACGACAACAACAGCATGAATTCGCTAATTAGAGTTCACCAAACTTTAACTCTGTGTGGAACGTTTGCGCAGATTAACTTCGCCTCCCGTATCATGCAATTGCGTCGGTTCTACTTGAAATAAGTGACTTTGCAGCTACATTCAGCCATTTTAAATCCTGGTATATCCTTCTATTTATTTTTAACAGATATCCATATTTCAGAATCGGTTTTCACATCTCACCCAGTGAACTACCTCTCTGTGCGTCTTTGTGTTCATTTAATCAAGCTGGCAGATCTGACACATTCTTCCTCTCTGCCTGTTTTGTGATTGAGCGTGAGAATGTTCATCTCACAACTTTTCACACGAGAAAAAGAAAAAGAAAGAAAAAAAAGAAAGAAAAAAACCTTTACAATGAAACTTCTTCTCAGTCATCTGCCAGTGACAATGAGATAAGATCAAACCTGACAAGGCGGTTGTAGAAAACAAGACTTCTCCTTTTAATTTCTCCAGCCACAACATACTGTTCATTTACAGTACAGAATCCCAATTTTAATTTGATTTTGCACAAATCACAGTTTTAAGTTTTCAAATGAAAAATACAACACAACTATGAAAAAAGAGACATATGCACAAAATTAAAACCTATAAAAAATATAAAAACAGTACTCTTAAATCTCATTTTGACAAGTACCATTTCAATAACAAAACAAGTAATAATGCACAACCGAGCAGACAAATGAAACTGAACCATTAGTTTTTTTTAAATAGAAGGAAAAGACAATTTTCATCATGCAGAAGATGTAATATTAAATAACGAATCAAACAAAAATAATATATACTTCTCTATATATCTCTCTTTTTTAAATTTTCAAGTCAAAGCACTCCCGTCCCTTATATAGGGAAAAACAAGATATTTTTTAAAAACACCAGAGGATCCACAATGCTTTCATTAGCTGCCATAGATGCATGGCCTTCTTTCGAAAACATTACAGCAACATCTTTTTGGCACAGAAAAAGACGTTCATAATGGCAGTAGCATTTTGCAATATAAAAGAGGGCGGAGCTATAGCTCTTTTTCATTTAAAAATAAAAAAAAAAAAAAAGCCAAGAGAAAAAAAAAAACATTCTGTGCACCGACATCAGTCAGGAGAGTCGTGTCTCCCCCCAGCAGGGTGTGAGGCAAGCAGCTGTAGCAGCTCAGTCCTACTGCAGCATGCTCTTGATAGTCTTGTTGGTTGATTCATCATTCAGATGCTTGGTTGTGTACCTGCAAGGTGAGAAAAAAAAAAACTGCATCAATGACTGGATCACTCATCGTCTTTCCGTACAGATAGAGGTGGAACAAGTATTCAGATCCTTAACTTAGGTAAAAGCACCAAAACAGAAATCTAAAAATACTCTATAAGTGAAAGGCTTACAGGTTTTATCTGCGAAATCTACTTAAAGAACCAGAAGTGAATTGCAATTATAATTATTATATATGACATTATTCACTTGTTAACTGAGGCAGTGTGTATTTATCTGTATTCATTTGTGCACTTTCCTCTTTGATTAACAGTAGAGCTGCAACAATTAGTCTATCGATCAATAAGTCAAACCATCAAAAATTTTGCAAAAACTATTTTTTTTTTACTAATTGATTAATTTCAAATTTGAGTGATTTTTTTTTTACAAAAACTGTCTAAAATCCTCTTCTTCCCGCTTCTTAGATTGCAAGATTGCCTTTTTTATATAGTTATATATTATATCATTATAGTAAACTGAATACCTCTGGGATTTGAACTGTTGGCTCCACAAAACACAAATAATTGTTAGCTGCAGCTTTCCTTCAATGTAATTGTGAACAACTCATAAACATCTGAAGTGTGGCAAGGGACCCCAACTACACAGTTTTTCTACACAAGCCAAAAAAAGTTAGGAACAACTTGTTTTATTAATATATCATGTTTTTTATGTTAAATCTTGATCTGTTAAGTAACAGGTAACTGAAGCTGTCAGATAAATGTAGTGGAGTAAAAGTACGACACTGACCTCTGGAATAATGTGAAGTTGAAGTATAAAGTAGCAAAAATTGGAAGTACTCAAGCACAAGACCGTTGACGTTTGAGTTAATGTACTTTGTTACGTTCGACCACTGCGGCCAACTAAAATATTTTGTCATCGCCTGTCAGATCGGGCACGTAATCACTGAAAGAAGATATGGCAGCTTTTGCATGAAAATGACCTAACGTGACCGGGTAGCGCCGGCCTGCCTCGGGTCCCTGCACAGAGACAGAGATACAGATGTGAGATTGACGCAGAAGCTGCCCTGTCAGCTCCGGCAGCTGTGAGCGTTAGACAAGGCGGGTAATATTTGGGAGACTATAAGGGGACGAGGTGTCAGAAGTAATCGGCCTCTCTGGAGAGGCTTCGACACCCAACCCGAATCCAGCACGGAGGGGATCCTCGGTGGACTGTGCGGAGAATGTGCGGAGAATGAGTCGCTGCACTGGAGGGGGAGTTGGGTTAAAATAAACCGAGAGGTCTGTCTGCTGCTCATGAACAGGCGCCGATATCATCCAACTCGCAGCATGAGCAGCCCTTCTCCTTTTCATTGAAAACCACAAACTGGTGCGCTACAATCACATTACATGCTGAGCTGTAGGTAGGGAAAAAAAAAAAAAAAACGCAATTTGATTTCAACACGAGCTCACCTGAGAGCGTTGAGAAGGCCTTCTACACTGTTCGGAGGCTGATCTCTGAGGACTTTGATGCAGCCTTTCATCTGTGGACCAGAAACGGACTGTTAGTGTCAGAGCAGGCCGTGAAGTCGCGTGGTGGAGCGAGCGCGGCTGTACTCACATCAATTTTGGACGACTTGGCGAAAGCTCCCACAGGATGGACGTAGTCGTACAGGATGATGACTCCGACCATGACCCGGAGGCAAAAAGACACCGTCTCCTCGCTAGTAAATCGGCTACGGTACTCCCTAGCAGGACGTGAGCGGGGGGGGGGGTGGATTACATACATGAAGGGAATGAACAGAAAAGCGAAACAGCTCTGGCAACACAAAGGGCCACTTACGGCGTTTCCAACATGACTTTACACACTGTCGCCATTGTGCTTAAGCAGTCTGTCGTGTTCTCGATGGGCAGGTTCTTGTTCTGGAAAAAGACAAAAAAGATTAAAAAAAAAAAGAAAAAGGAATGAGAGCGTGCTTCCACATAGCTGCTAAAGAAGCTCATCGTACGTCACGTCAGTCTTACCTCTGACACAAACTTCGTTGTGCCATCACTTAATGTCTTCAGCATGGGCGTGGCATCGGCGTAAAACAGAGATATCCGATTGGCCAGTTCGTTGTTGACTTCGTTTTCACCCTCCGCCTGAAAAATCATTTTTTTTAACAAATGGATAAATAGTTGTATCTCCTTTGGAGTTTGTAAGTACTTGTGTATTTCAGTTGAAATTGATCCCAAATTCCTAATATGTCAATTCACTCAGTCTAAACAGATTCTGACCTTCATTACCAAAGTCACCGGCGTCATTTTTAAAGACCTTTTTAAAACCACGTAGGATGAAACTCGACACTTTTTCACAATCGTACCGATCAAAGGATGACAGAAGACCAGCGGGGAACACGAGGCATACAAATAAATACTTTATAATTAAATGACACTCGCAGTATTTTTTGTCAATACTTCCCGGCTGCATATAAACATAATTGCTTGTATTATAAAATGACTAACATGAGCAGCAGAAAATGGTTGCATGGATGGATGGATGGATAACCAATTAAAAACAACAACTTTGTCCAAGCATAACAAATTATCCATGTCCATTCATATGGACGGTTTTCAAACATGCTCCAGATGTATACAGGAAGAAACCTGCATTATTTTCATTCATTGATTCATTCACCCCCCCCTTACGATTTGTGGAGATATTTTCTCTTCAGGTTGCAGCCTGTGTGTTTGCAGTGAGTGTCTGTGCGGCTGCTCCAATTACAAGGCAATTTGATGCTGGGCGGTTTTTAGAGCCTTTTCACTGGGAACACGCGTCGACAGCAGCGAGCGTGAACCAACACAGTAAAGATGTTGGGTCAGAAAACCAAAACAAGGAGCTGAAAGACGCTAAAAAGCTTCTGTAAAGGCTGAAGGGAACTACAGAGTCTGGTGCTGATGCTCTGTGGGTTCCCTCTCACACACACGTAATAATGTGATATATTGATAATGTTATGGACAACTGATTGACTTATTTAGAGATGGCACTTTTCTTGACTTTTGACCTTTTGTAAAATTCAGTTGTAAACATTTTTGAAAAAAGCACTGCTGATAATGATTTGTATGATTTCAATGGCTGCCGATGGAAATTAGACTTCCTCAGGTGTTGGAAAGTAAAAACACATCATGCGTGTCTCTCACAGTCGGTGTGGATTGATTCTATTGCAGAAATATAATTGCAGAAATGCTTCAGAAAGCTGCTGCAATGATATTGTATAATGGCAATTTTGTTATTAAAATGTATAATCAGCTAATTTAGTTTAAACCCTCCTGATGAAAGGAGGCACAAAGCATAAAATGTTATCTGGAAACAGATTCTTGTTGTTTGGAATCACACTCGTCACCATGCAGCTCGACTAGATTGTGATTGTGCATATGAAAGCTGTTTAATTAAAAAAAAAAAAAAAATCCTGACAGAAAAATCCTGATATAAATCATATCACCGACCCCTCCTGCTCCGCCTGGTTCCCCAGCTGACTAACACATCCTGCTGCTTTACAATTTCAGACTGAACGAGACACTGAAAACACCTGGCGGATAACAAAGAACAAGGTGTCTTTTGAACAGCCTGTTCTAAATTTGTCTGCATATTTAAATGATAAGAACATTTCGTGCCTTTATTGTTTTTTATGGGAACGCTGACAGAATATGAATAATCTCCCCCAAAATTTTCAAACCGATTCATGTTTTAACAAATGATGGGCATATGAGCTCGAAAAACTGTTTACCGTGGGGACAGATGCATTTCATCTCAGACTTCTGAATGACTCAGTTGAGCGGTGACTAAAACGCTGCTGCTGTGCGAGACTGAGCTACCAGGAAGGACGGCAGTGACAGGTCCTAACGACAACTTGTCTGGGCCCATTTGCCTAATGGCATATTCCGGTTTGGAGAATAAAACCTCCCGTCAGACAGGTCAAAACTGAGTTTCAGACACACGCAGGAACTGAACTGAAATCTCACTATTCCCTGAACCAGCTATCTTTTACATGTCCTTGAAATCTCCTGAATAAAAATGTATACGTGGGGAAGAAGAGCCTGTGTGATACCAGAGAGTGAATGAGTCTGTAAATTTCATATCTCAAGACCTATTGTTTGCAAGCAATACAGGAAACATCCTACAACATTTACCCAGTATTGATTGAGCTGCTCCCTTCTATGGCCCTAGAGTAAAACTGTTTATGCTGTTTAAGCTGCACCGGCAGGTCTTTTCAGTTACTTTCTCACCTGTGATTTGGTTTTATCTTGTAAGGAAACTATACATCGTTGCCTTTTAGAGTTGTACACATGAGGTAATTTGGGCTGCCGGGTGACTAATTGCTTGGAAAGTTTTGCCGGTGTCATCCTGCATCATCAGTGTCACATGGAACGTGTTGGGGAAATCAATCAATCCCAGGTAAAGATGGCACTTTACTGCTTCTACTGTGTGTGTTTATGTTCTCTACCGTCAAAGAGCTCACGAGAAATAACTGATTATGAGAGCGATAAGTCGAGACTTCGGGGTGAGCTTCATAATTAGTGATGAGCGGGTAGAAACAGGACAAACAGTCTTGTACCGTAATGTTTAGGGGGAGGACAGTAATTGTGTGGTAATTCCTTCTCACTTTTTAAACCTGCAATATGATTTTTTTGGCTACTTGGGGGCAGTAGAAACAATCTGTTAGCACAACACCAACATATTATCTTTTAAATATTCGCTCGTAAGTTGATACGCTGAACTCGTCAGTGAACAGTTTCCTATCCGTTTACATCCAGCAGGTACGGAACAACACTACGACTTATTCTGAATCGCGTCTCTGTCCGTCTGATGAATACGTCCAATGTGAAATCTCTTTTAGCTCCGTTTATGGTCCCTACCAACTCACCAGGTAACCACCAACGCCAACTGTGTCTGTCTGTTGTTTGGTGCCGGTACAGTGGAAACAGTGAGAGCAGGCAGACTGAACCAAAACCCCAGGAAAACAAAACAATGAGCTGAAACAGGCTGAAAAGCTCTGTAGAGCTGCAGAGTCAGGTAAGGATCAGTTAAAGTTTGTCACTATGAATGAACCCTTTCACATACTCGTTTGTTGCGTTTGTTAATAGCAGCTTTAATTAGGAAACGTTTAAATATACAGAGTAGGAAATAAACTGAAACACCTCTCTGGTTAAACCTGGGGAAAATCCATCAGATGAATTGGATAGTTTCACTCTTGAATCTATTCTAATTTCACGTTCATCTTAATGACAAGTTTGTAGTTGGTCGGCTTTGCTTTCACTTCACAAATAAACCACAATACGTTTACTTAAAACTAGACCAAGACCCAGAGGGTGTCATCTACTCTTCACGAGCCACACAAACCTGGATTTAATGTTTTACCTATTGCGGATTTGGGCCGTGCAACTGATTTGGGATCAGATCGTCCCGCCACACGTTACTGAGCCTCCCTGAAACTACCTGTGGGTCTCACTTCATGTTCTGACTTCATGTTGTGAGCCGGTGTCCTGACGCACTCCTCTCGACCCCCGGGTGTCCAAACAGTCTGAAAACTTAATCCATCGTTCCTGCCTTTCTACCGGTGCAGTCTGAACTGTGCTGGGATTATAATGATGAGAACTGAGGGCTCAGGTCTGAGTTTAGATGAATCATGATGACGCACATTTTTGAATTTGATCAGGGCCAGCGCCATGGAGACATTAAAGGAATACAAAATTACAGACTGTCTGAACACCGACAGGAAGATTTTTATATTAAAATGAATTCATTATTCATCTCTGCTAAATATAGTGAGTGGATGTAAATGCTACCATGTTTGCAGTGGCACACAACTAAATTTGCGCATAACTGTTAAACATGCCGCACATTACAACTACAATAAGACATGTAAAAATGATTGTGGCGATTGCCATTATGACAAGTCTGGCATCAGAAATATAGGTAATTTATCTAATAACGAATAATAACATTATGTAATTACACTGTCAGTGACAAACTGTTCAACGCACTACACACAACATGCCACAAGTATGTGGCATGTATGTTTTGCACAACAGTTCCAATTACAGAAAATCTTAACGCTATAGCAGGCAATGAAATTTTAGACCAGTGTTTCTCAAACTTTTCCGTTTGAAACCATTTAAAAACAGCTATAATCAATTTTTTTTTTTTTACAATAACATAGAAACTGACAGTGTGAAAACAATGTGACAATTTGAATGTGGTTGAATCTGCTTTATGAAGGTTTATAGTGAGTTTCAAGCTCATTGTCTGGCAGTTCAACTTTTTTTTTTTTAATTTTTATTTAGCCGTCTTCTCTCAGTTCACCTTTCACTTCGTTCTTAGTTTCACTTTTGGCTGCAGCAGGCAGCTGTTTAAAAAAAAAAGAAAAAAAGAAAGCTGTAAGAAACTGACTGACTGTGTGACACCAAATGAACGATGATGTTGCTCAGTAACTGCTGGATGTGTAAATAAGTAACACTTTGGCAACATGTTCACCGCATCAGTTTAAAAAGGTGGTGACATGTCAGTGACTTATTTCAACTGCACCAAAGTGGCCAAAAAGGAAGATCAGTAAAGTGATGTCTACTTGTGAACCCACATAGGAAGTTATAGCTACAGTGTTTTTCCATCTCAGACTGATCACATTTGTGGGCACTGCACACACAGGACAAAACTTTCACTCTCTTTTAGCTCTGATTTTGGTGGCTAAGGTTTTTCTTAAATTACAGCATCCTCACCTGCCCAAACAACAGAGGGATATAATGTTCTCACCGGTACGTTGTTGATCCGCATGCGGCTCAGTGTTCTCCTGTAGTAGCTGAAGTCATTCTGAATGGCAGGATTTGTCATCTGCCAAAAAAAACAAAAAAACAAAAAAAAAACAAAACAGAAATGCATCTTAATAAAGAGAGCGAGACGGAGACAGAGTTTCTCTGCATGTCTGTAGGTGCCGCAGCCTGCAGCGGGACATCCAGCTCTGGATCAAACACGCCATCGTCATGACAGAATGTTTTAGCCAACAAGGCAGAAATGCAGCTTTGGGGGGCAAATGACATAAAAAGAACACTGATACAATTATAATTTTATTTGCTGAACAGGATTCGAATACTCTGACACTCATCCACCCCCTTAACATCCACATCCTCGCTCTTCCTGTCAGGATATATTTGGTTATTTTCCCATTCCCAGTCTGGCTGTGCATCTGTACAGTATGTGACAAGAGGGTCAACAATTATGTAGCTGTCAGAAAGGTATGAAAAGGGTCTCATTAGGGAGAAGCAAGGTTAGAGAGACCTCAGATAAAAGCCACAAAAGTCAGTTGACTTCTTTGACACCACCTCCTCCAAATATAAATCATGTGGTTTTAACACGAAGCCAAAGTGAACCCTTAAAATAGAAAACAGCCAACCAGAGAGCTGCTTTCAAATGTCACCACTAGTGAGAGCTCATCGTGTGGCTAATTATCGTCATTCCTGTATGAGCCTGTCACATTCAAAGCTGTACTGGCAGCATGCTAATCCTGCTACAATAGACTGGTACTCAGTCTGTGTCCACTGTGTCCACCAGGAGAGACAGGCTGCTCCACCAGGGAGGGGCTGCCCGCCGCACAGACACTTTAACTAGGTCAGAAGCTCATGCATGGGTGTGAAAGATTGATGACTAGGCTTGGCATGCCACCTTGCACCCCCTACCTTCGTGTTTTTTTATCTTGCCAGCCTGGCTAGTGGGCACTAATTGGGACATCGCAGCAAATCGCCTCTGGGTGTCAGGGGAGTGGGGTTTTTGTTATCCAAGGAGCGAGGGTGTACGGGGAACCAGTTCACCCACTGTCTGATCATGAGCGCTTACACGGTTATGTTTTTGACAGCGGGCATTCAACCGACACCCATGTTTGATTCCTGGTGTTTTCTAGGTTGCACATGAGCAATTTGCGTCCGAATGCAAACCGAATCATTTCCCGAAAGTTTCCTTCCCTCCATCATTAATAAAAACCTGCCACATTATGCAGAACTCGGCTCGGGACGGCAACAATTTGCAGACCTCTTTACCCGCAATAACCCTTATTAGCCATTCCACTGACATCCACTGTATTATAAACAGCAGAGCAGTATCAGGATTCTAATTAAATGCTAATTATGCGTTCACTGGCTGCAGTTTAAAATTGCACAGAGCAAAAATCAATTCAAGGGCATCAGCAGCTTGTAGGGCGACAAAGAGGTCTGGTTTGTATCACAGAAGAAAAGTGCAGAGTTTACATCAACATCTTGAAGGTGAGTTTGGGGGGTTTAAACGCAGAAACTGACACTTGGGATATTTTTTGGAGGGGGGGGGGTTATGCCTATATTAGAGTAGCAGTGAGAGAGAGACAGGAAAGTTTGTGGTGAGAGAGAGAGAGAGAGAGGGGATGACATGCAGCAGTCCTAATGGCGAGCGCTCCACCAGGTGAGCCACCGAGGGCGCCCCACACTTGGGATATCGTTGGAGGAACGAGTGTCTTACTTTGAGTTCATCAAAACGCAGTGTGAAGTGCAAGATCTCTGCGAACTGCTTGGCCAGCGCCTGCTCCCGCTCCAGGTGCTGAGTGGGGTCGTCGTAAGACTCGCTGGTCAGAGCTCCCAGGAGGCTGTGCAGCGCCGCCTCTGTGAGGGAAATAAGATTTCTGTCAGAAGATGAGCACAGAGACGTCAGCTCTTTTGAGAAAAAAAAAATATATATATATATGTGCTTTTATTCAGTCTGTAAGGACCCTGACGGAAGGCCTTGCACTGAGACACTTTGGCTGATATGTGTATAGTCCCAAAGGTCATCAGTCAGTGTTGCTACAAAATCTTTCACTGTCAGGTTTTTGTCACTCGCATCGCCCGGTTAACGGCTGAAGTATCAGCACTACACTCCAGAAATGAGACGCAAAGGTCGTGAGAAAGAAGAAATACTGTATGCAGCACGGCAGAGTGATGGATATTCAAGTCTAAAACGTAAAACACTGCAGCAGCAATTAGTTAGTAAACCAGCTGAGAGAATTATAGGGTTGCAACTAACAATTATTTTCATTATTTATTAAACTGCCCATTATTTTCTCAATTAATTATTTCTTTAGTTGACGAAATGTCAAAAAAAAATATTAACAAGCGCCTGAGGGCCCAAAATATGTTCAATCTATTATATAACAAAGAAAAGCAGCAAATCCTCACAATTGAGGAGCCGTTACCAGATGACGTCTGGTTGAAAAATGACTGAGACGATTATTCGCTTATCAAAATAGTTGGCTGCTAATTTTCTGTCAAACAAACAAACCATTACAGTTCCACATAATTAATCAACAACAATTCACATAACCGATTTTTTATGGTTTTATACGGTTGCAAATTTAATATTTTTAGGTTTTTGACTGTTGGTTGGACACAACAAGCCATCTGCAGACGTCTCGTGGGGCTCTGGGAAACTGAAACAGGCTGTTTTTTCCTTTGTCTTTTTGGCACTTTATTTATTTAATAATAATTTGTTATTTGGAAAAACAGTCGACAGATTAATCAATAATGAAAATAATCATTAGGTATAAAATGCATGGCAGCGTGTCTGCTGTGTTCTCATACTGGATGAGGCCAAAGATTAGTCCTTAAAGTGGATCATAACCGCAGTTAGTGTGTCAGCCAGCTGAAGCATCCTGATTAGGACACAGACAGATAATGGGGAGCGGTGGTGCCCAAACTGCCCAGGGCCCAGTGCCAGTCTGGGGGGAGTGAGGGAGGGGGTGGGTTCGGTGGGGTCGGGGGGGGGCCAAGAGGCTTTCCTGCTCAGATGCAGATGAGACATGGGACTAATTATCTCATTGGCATGAAACGGGGGGGGGGCAGGGGAACAGGATTTCATTCAAGCAGAATTACACTCATTGTTTTGACAGTAAGTAAATACAAAGCCTGTGCCATGCCTTGACATAGCATACCCATAGACCAATAATTAAGCATGCAGGAGGAGCCCCGGCAGGGAAATGAGGAAAAGATTAAGTGAAATGTAGCGGACAACTTGCAACCAAGTAATATTATTAAAACACACCTCTTGTTCAAACACCAAAAAAAAAAAAAAGAGAGAAAAAAATAGCATACCTTTAAAGCCCAGAGGGAATTTTTATTTATAGATACAGACGGTGCGCAGAATTCAGTCTAGACACTGTAGAGACGTTTCAATAATGACATAACCCAGACGAGCACAACATCTGATGCAATAAATCTGCGTGGTACCAAATGAGCACTTTGGATAGATTTAGTCTGAGTGTATTTTACAATTCTTGTTGATTACATATGACGATGAGCATGTCAACATAACCCAGAAAGGGGCCGAGTCAGAGAGCGCTCTACTTAAGATAATCGTAAAGGGGACTTTAAAAGACAGACAGAGCGCTGGCAGTGCAGTGCAGTAAATTGAGCACGTTTGCCATTCAGTAATGACTCCCATCTGCTTGGGCCAGCGTTTGCAGCGAAGCGAACCTTAGTGGTGCTTTTTTTTTTTTTTTCCCCTCCTCTCTCTCTCTCTCTTCCTCTACGTCCCAGTCAAAACAGAAGTTAAGATGGAGCTGCTTTCTGGCCCTCAGAAATGAGCCACTCTAGTATGTCGGGAAGTCGGGGAAGGGCGGGGCGCGGGGGACATGTCTGATCTCATCAGGTCACGGCAGAGCAGGCAAGTAGAATGCGGGCATGCAGGCGCTTTACTCGCGGAGAGGGGAGGGTCGGAGGATGGTCTAGACGCTACAGTCTATGATGAATCAGACTGACTCAAATTCAACGGTTTCTCTTAATAACAGTAAAATGTTGATTATTAAAATGGATTCTGGGTTCGATCTGTAGCAAGAAAATTCAAACTGCTTTTTCACTAATGATAAATTTAAGTCAGATTTGAGTGCTCATGCAAGGACTAACAGTTTGAAGGAGAAAAATGTCCCTTCCATAACTTACATAACTGATTTCAGCTTCTCAAATGCTTCTCTGTTTCATAAGGCTATGAAGTGGATATTGTTTTTGTGTTTTTTCTTTACTGTTGGTCAGACAAAAACAAGCAACATGATGATATCACTTTGGATTGTAGGTGGGTCCATATTTAGAAAAGGTATATTTTTCTGTCAGCAGGGTTACATTTAGGTCAAGCGTGGGCGTCGGTAAAATAACTAGTTGATGGGGCAGGAGAAATATGTCCCTTCATTTCAAATGTAAAGCGAATTGCATAATCTTGCCCCATAATATCTCCCATCCTCGGCAGATCGCTCCACCTGCCTGTAGTAAGGGACTTTCAGCTTCATGCGTATCAGGCGGGACAGTGGGCTGCGGAGGCCGTCATGGCCCCTGAAGCCTAAAGTCAAGGCAGTGAAATAGAGCAGCAGCCGCCGAGGCTGGGAGGTGACCTACTTCGTTACATAACAGCCATCGCCAGGCTGCTGCCGCCCACTGCTCCCATTGACTACCTTCTGCACCGCCACTGGGATTACGGGGTTGAGGGGCGTTGAGGCATGGCGGGGCTCCACCCCGCACCCCCACACCCCACACACCCCCGGGGTCATAAGAAGATCAGGGAGCAGTAAGCCTACTTCCCCCTCCCCCCCCTTTTTATCTATGCTAATTAAACAACCTATGGCCCCACAGAGGTCGGCGCACAATGCAACGCAAGCAGCATGATGCGAAATGCATGTCTGTGGGGGTTTTCAAAGAGTGTTTATATAAGGCTGGGTGCATGTTATGTGTATGTGCCGCATGTATGTTGACTTTTGCAGTTCAGCAGTCGATATTGCAGATGCACATGCAAACAATTAAGGTCATGTATGAAGGTTGCGTCTCTGCGAGGCCTCTAAAGAAGACTTTTTACATCAAGGACGTCGACTCTCATCCTTCATGGTATCAAGTCTGGCACTTTGGTGACGCTCAGAATTACAAATGGCATCAAACATTCCTAAAGGCTCAAACTAACACACACTGGGATTTCTGCTCACAAATTCTCCCAGGACACCTGAGTTTGTTCCACTTGAAACGGTGGACGTGCGAGCTTCTGTCTGAGAAGCAGTGATGTAATTTCTCCCCTGCCTATACTAATGTGTTCCTGTGGACAAAGCACAGGCAGATGCATACCTAATCTCTGGGAGAACTCATAGAACTTCTTCAGTCTCCCCACTAAGGGAACCACAGCCGCCCACGCCTGCTCCTGTAACGCCTCATCACTTGGATTCTGGATCGCCTGGAAACGCCCAAAAAAAAAAAAGACAATTAGTCAAAATGTGACAGAGAAAATGTTTTAAAAGTCACAATAATATATTGCATAGGCATAAAAGTTCGGTTTAATAAAATTTAAGGCACCCATAACTCTGTATAGTGATCTATTAAAAAGGAGAACTGCATTGATTTTTTCGTGGCTCCTGTGGGAGCTGCACGAAATCTGGTAGATGTCCTCTTCATCTTCTTGAGTCAGAATCGGTTAGAGCCAGAAAGACGAACGAGTATCTCTGTAGCCCACTCCTCATCTCTGCTTGAGGCTGGCAGCTCGAGGCTACGTTAGCCACTACTAGCATAACGGGCTGAATCGCCAACTGAGATGCCTTGTGGGTAATGGAGGCAGCAGTTTTTGATAAGGAATTTTAAAAAGACAGTGTTTGTTTTCTGATGTTTGAAATCAATAAAAAAATAAAAAATAAAAATTTTAACCGTCCTTCATGACTCTATAGGAATGTGAAAAGGAAATGTTCTTTTTCTTCCACCTAAAAAAAAAAAAAAGGACGTGAAAACATGTTTTCAATCCGTGGTCTTGAGCTTTCCATGAAATGTTTAATAATGTGCTGAGTTTTGAGGCTACAGAAGGCATTTGTCTGAAGCCTGTTGTTCCCAAAACCACTGTTATTCACTCTTGGTCAGTGTGAAGCCAACAATGGGATGCTAATACTTCTTCAGTTGGAAATTTAATAAAAATGTCTCCAGTGTCAGGCTTCATTTGTGGGTCAGGGCTTGTAAACAGACTGAGGCAAGGAATCAGAACTGATTTAATAATTTATGACAACCCTTGTGAATTATTCCCAGCAGTCGTCTCTTGTGAAGGTTATTCTTTTGACTTTTCTTAATCAAAGAAAGATCCACTGCTACACTATTTCAGATAGGATGGACTTTGCCAAGAGGGTGCAGTCAATTAGGAAAAACAATAATGCAACAATGCAGGAAACATCCAGACTACTCATGAGCCATGAGCTCTTAATAAGACCCCCTATGAACTACTGCAGCATCTCTTCACAGTGGGACGCAGCTGACTCTCCTCACTCTGCAGCAGCTCCGTGTGCTGTCAGTCGGGGGTGGATGTTTGTTAAAGGTGTACCTCTCTGATCTCCTGCCCCGCTCCCTTGTACGCCTGCAGCTCGTCCAGGATCCCTTTTGCATCCTTCAGCACTACGTCCACCTGGTCCCACACCTCTCGCTCTGCATCTGTGGGCTGGGCATCTGCAACAACAACGACAACAACAACAAGGTCAACAGGGCAAATCTGATTGGTATCTAGTCCGTATTCACACTGGCTCAATGTACAGTAAACACCAGCTCTAGGAAATCTATCGAATCCTCCGATATGATAGAAAGTTTAACATGCAACTTTCAATTATGTAAATGAAACTTCACAAAGCTTCCCATTTAGTTTCGACACCACCCACTTTTCCTGGCTGATAGGGAGGAAAATGGAGCGAGATAAGAGAAGAGAAATGAAAAGGGTTATGCGTAGCTTTTGTAACAGCTCTGGGTATAGAGGCGGTTACGTCTCCGAGTTTTTATTTTGCCTTGAGAGAAGTGGCGATGAAGAGCTGCAACACTGTGAACCCTTTTCCACCACCTGAAGCAAGAACACCTTGCCAAGTGTGATGACTGTAAACTCCTGCTCCCGTGCAGAAGAAATACCTAAACCTCGGCTCATATTGGCAGCTACAGTCTTTTTTTTTTTTTACTGCATACCATATCTTTCAATTTTGCATTTGAATTTATTTTTGTTTACATTTGGTGTGAGCCCTTTTTGAGGCCATTTCAGCAGCTGTGTAAAAATGCAAATACAATCCTGAAAAAGTGGCTCATTTTGAGAAATCTTTACGATATTGAGCAATGTTGCATAAAAGATATTCTAGGTATGTAATTGCGATGGTCTTTTAATATGAAAAAAATTACCTAGAAACAGTTGGATCAGTATGAGGCATTGTTTTCTCTAAAGGTATGATTGAGTCTCTGGGTTTGCCAAGTGTGAGGAGAATACTACAGTACAGGATCAAGCCGTGTTGAGGGGCCTTAGGCTACACAGCAGCTGAACTTAAGCGCTTTATATTTGAGAAGGGGGGCTCTGCTGCAACTCTGCCCTGATTGATATTCTGCACACACACCAGCGTGGAAGAGGCAGGTTGATGGAGAAGAGAAGAAGCTCTGGTGGTAGATTTGATTCCTTTTTGCCGCTGGGAGGAACATAGTGTAAAAGATAAGTGAGGGTGAAAAGACTTAAGAGTTTCAGAGTTGATAATGTTATGGTAAGATATTCATGTGATCAATATCAGAGGAGAGGGAGCAATTACTTCAGAAGAACTCACTTTCAAAATCGAGGAAAAAATTGGGCTCCTGTTCCAGATCTGTGCATGTCAAAACTTTCAGTAGGTTCCCCATGTTACGATACCTGTTGAGAGAAAAGAGCAAAGGAAAAAAAAAAAAAAATCAATAAAAAAAAAAAAAGAAAGAAAAAGAGTTCAGCAGGAAAGTGAGCAGGTGGTGATACACTACTGTATCCACCTCGCTCCCGCTCTGCTTCACTGCTCTGGTGCCTGTATGAATTCAGCGGTGCCCCAGATGTGCCCGCTGCTCGCAGACACCAGCGTTCCCCTCGGACCCCCCTCAGTGGCGTGTTTCCTGTGCCCGGGCTCTCGCCAGCCAGATGTCAAACACAAAAAGTCCCAAAAATACAAAAACTCAGTTTGGGCTTCTTTTTTTTTTTTTTTTTTTTTTCTTCTGCTTTGTTAAGTTTCTTCCCTGCAACCATAAGCATTCACAGGCAGTTGTATGCAAAGTAATCCATTTTACAAGCCTCCGCAGGGAAATCAAATATAATCTATGTTCACGTCTACACATGAAGATGTTTCCTGCACACAGTAGGACACATCCTATTAAACTTTTATAAAAAAAATGGATGTTGCCATGTAGAAACATAAGACGACCTGATTATGAAGTTTGTTGGCTGTATATGATTTAGTCTGCCATGCTTTGAAATTCACTTCATCTTCTCGGCAGACTCACGATGTCTTCAGGAAGTGCAGCGCAGCACCTTGGTCATGGGAGCTGAAACATTACATCAATATTTTACATACCTTAGCAAAAAACCTAAGCACCGACAGCACATGTGATACAGACACAAAGCCTTATCTGCAGCACAGGTGCACAGAGCGTGCCGACGCAACACAGCAGGATATATGATATAACAACATATGCATTGCATGAGTCATGTTAGACCACGTTTCATTCTGTGAAGCTCAACTACTGATTATGAGGCTGAAATGATCAATGTAATTAATACGCAGTTGTTGTGATGATTGATTCAGCATTTTAAGTCATTTTTCAAGCAAATATTGCTGTATGTAAAGGGTAAAGTATAAGTACCTCAGAGTTGTACTTGAACAAAGAGACTATTTTGACGCACAGACCAGAAATGACTGTTGCACCACATCTGCATTAACAGTTTCTTGTCAAACTGTCACACTTTAAACTTTCTAACTAGACTTTCATTACTGCTCAGCAGGTTCCAAGCTGAAAGTTGCTGTGTAATTGGCCCAACCACTGTGCTATATCACTCTTCAATTATCACAAATGCTTTGTTCCTATAAATTAAACAGTTTCTTCAAGTGATTAGCACGTTAAGGAGGAAGAAGACCACCGTTTTTGTTTCGTTTTATCTCAATATTTGTATTGCTGTTGCCGTTATGATTTTGTTCTCTCTTCTGATGCAATCTAATATCGGTTGCTTAATTCTCCATCAGTGCTTTATTAACACTGAATGCTGTTTGTGTTGTAACAAAAGAGTTCAGTTGAAGTTCAAGGATATTAACGGTGATTTTGAAGGGTACATGGAGGGTTAATGGTTGGTCTAGAGTTTGGTTTGGAAGGATTAGAAATGATAGGCTCCCCTCTTTGCTGATTTAATACTAGTATTATGTAACCTTTGTCTTTTTAGTTTTGTGAGCTAATTAAAAGAAAAGGAGGAGGATGATGACTGAGGAGGAGAGAAGAGGAAGACTGGTGTGTCCAAGCTTTGGTGGACACACTGACTTCATACCTTCCCTGCTCAGACATACACGCCACTGCTCCACACACGTATACCATATAGCTTATACACAACGTACTACACATCAGCTGAGAGTTGCGTAATCAGAAGCGACAGCCTCTCACGGCTCTCTGCTCCGTCGTTCCTCTGACTCCTCGAAAGCACAGAGCCGATCCTTCTCAGAAGCAGAGGTCAACAGACATATGACAAGTCAAAGATCTGTGGCAGGTTTGTAAGAGTGGCGGGCTCCATCAGCGGAGACAGATTCAACCCTTGGTGACGGAGCGGAGACGGGCAGGATGCACTCTGGGAGGGCGGAAGCAGGTTCGACGCAGGACAGTGACAAAGTTATACTTCGACAGGCAGATGTCAGCCGAGATGAGTGACAGGTGAAAAGCCAAAGTGACTGAGTGAGGGCTAGTGGCGACGGGGTAAATCATGCCAACGCAAGTAATGCTGGGAGACAGGGAGGTGCTGCAACACAGCATACTACACACTCAGCAGTCAGGGGAGGAGGGTTAAATGGAGTGGTTTTAAAATGCATGAGGTGCAGGTGCATGAGGGAGAGGTTTGCATCGTTCATGCATCTCAAAAACATAGCTGTGGGTCAGGCCCGCGTTTTATTTTGTTTGTTACAAAGAAAATATTAGTGATAAATATTATATACATTTTTACACAACTGTTAAATTTGAGGGGAAATCAGATTTTAGACATTTTATCCTGATAATCCACTGACACTTAAACCACCTCAAGGTCAAAAGGAACAAGCAAGTTCACTCTGTCTCATAACAGTGGGTCAAGCTGAAGGAAAGAGCTGAAATAATTAGCTGATTGATAAAGACTATCTGACAGATTTGATAGTGGATTTTCATTTTAAGCAAAAAGGCCAAAAATATTCCAGGTCCAGCTTCTTAAATGTGAGTATTTGCTGGTTTTCTGCTCTGATAGTAAATGTAAGATTTTTGGATTTTCAGTACTAGCAGTAGTGTAGTTCAAAACAAGACATTTAAATACACGTCACAACTTTTCTGTATTTTTTCCCTTTTTACAATAATGATAATAATAATAATAATAATAATAATAGGTTAATTGAAAAGCAAATCAGCCAATTCATTGATGATGAAATAATAATTAACTGCAGTCCCTCTACTGACGAATGTGTTGAATATTTGGTGAGCATTTTACTTTTGTTTTTCACCTACACCTGATGCAGTTTCACTCCGATCTATCCTGCAGGACAGTTTTTTTTAAACTGTGCACACTTTTTTTTTTTTTTTTTTTTACTTTCACTTATTTCAACCGTTCGTCAAGAGTCGAACCCAGTGACCACCTGCAAAGACCCACCTGCCTTGTCCAGCCTCGTCGTATAACCCTCCACTAATGTGACCTGAATGTCTGACGGTGCCAGCGCTGGCACCTCACTGGCTGTCGGAAAGCAGCACCCACTCCAGCATCAGGAGGGATGAGAGCTGTCACTGTCCTCACCCTGCTGGATGATGTGGGCACTGCCCATCATCGCCAGGCCTCAGCTGGTCCTCTACTGCCACCTTTCAGCCTCCCTGAGACTGAGGACGGCCGGCTGGCCGGTCGGCAGAGCTGCCAGGGCTCACAGTGCTTCAATGCAAGCACTGGCAGCCTTGTGGGCCCTGCGCTACCCCCGCGTGCTGTTTGAAATGAGGTCATTTTAAGGACAGGGATTTGCGTGGCTGCTTTTTAAAGTCCACCAGAGAACGTTAAAGTGTTCTAGCATTTTGCAGCTTTTTATATCTCACTCTTCCACTTAAAGTGCAGCCTGAGAATCATTTATTACATAAACATGAACCAACACTGATTCTGTAGCTTATATGGACTTTCTAGGACGACAACCCTCCCATTAGAGATAAATCTTAGCCAATATAAGTTACTGTGTGCAAACTGGTCGCTTAGTGATGTTGTAGTAAGACAAGAGAAGAGCTGGCTGAGAGTAAAAATACAGTATCAGAGAGCGATTGAGGAATTGAAGCCCCCCCCCCTCCTCAGTGGCTGTAGTAATACCCAATAGTGCTGGCATGACCTGGGCACCACAGAGAGCGCGACGACAGCCTTGTTGTTGTTTTGAACCCCCCCACTGAGCCATCGCGTGCTCGCAGCAAGGGAGGGAGGGCTGCTTCTAAGGCCAGGGGCAGAATCTGACAAGCAGGAGCCCACACAGCTCTCCTATTGGCTGAGCCGATCTACCCAACAGCTCACTGTATCCATGGAGTCAAAAAAAATTTGGTGCCATTGAAAACATTGCAGCAGCCAATCAGAGGGAAGCTCCGGATGAGGAGCGAGTACAGTAGTAGTAGGACTTGAAAGCACATGAATATATTAATACAGATGAGGTAATGCGCCAAAAACAGCGGATTAGCAGTGGAGTGAAGAGAAATATTTAATTCCACTACTGAGTACTTTGTGATTTAATGTGATTTGATTTTTTTATGTGCAGCTCAGCAAATTCACATTATTATGACCAGGTTTTTTTTTGTTTTTTTGGGAGAAAATATTGCAAAATCAGTACAGTAATGAATATGAACAAATGGTGAATATAATTATACATGTTGTCACTTTACTATGACTGAAAAATGTTGGATATATAAACAGTGCAAATCCACACCCCAAGTATTGCAGATGGTGCAGGAACGGTTGAAGCTTATTTTGGTAAAGACACCCAAAACAGTGCCACGCCCATGCAGCAGCCTGACCTCTGGATGGCACTGCCTTTTAACGTCTCCCAGCTCTGTGTCTCCCCTTTAATAGGCACACAGCAAAGCAGGGCACACAGCTGAAACCGAGCACTGCGGCAGCGTCCTACAAGAACGACTCGGGGGGTGATGGCTGTGCTAATGTGAGGGAGGGATAGTGCTGACATTCCACTACTCGGCTGCAGCATGAGGATCCACGTGCCCTGCTGCTTTACTATGGAAGAAAAACAACGCCCTCCCCTCCCCTCCCCTCCCCTCCCCGGCCGCGCGCAGACACAGCACGGAGCGTCACGTGGGCTCCGCCGTGGAGAAGCTGCGAGCTTGCCTGGGGTGTGGAGGGGGGGATGGGGAGAGACAGTAGAGAGTGTGTGTTTATGTCTGAAATAATGTGGGTCTGGAAAGGGAAATGCGTGGCTCATATTTGTCTCTGTATGACATTTAAAGAAAAAAAAAAAATTTAAAACACAAAAAAATAAAACAGTTATGTTGGTAAGGATGAGCGCTGAATATTAGTGCGTGTGTGGAAGAGGAGGGATTTGAAGCGTCACACTGCGGCAGAGGCGGGCACAGCGAGGCAGCTTTAAACTTGACCTAGATTCCCCGGGTGACATGCCACATCGCATTAGCCCACTCGGCCAGACC